ACTTTGAAGCCTCATTCTCCTGAGTACTCAGTGCCCACATTTGCTTTCTTTCTGAGATGGAGGTCTCACACTGTAGCCCAGGTTGCCCTAGACCTTCCTAGGTAGCTCAGGCTAACTTCATATTTATGGTTATCCTTCTGCCTCAGCCTTCTGATTTCTGGGATTCCAGGCATGCAACACTATGCCTGGCTTCCCATTTATTCTTTCCAACAGAAATTCCACTTTTTCTGGTAACTCAACTTTTTCTTGCTTTCTTGCCCGGGTTCACCTGTGTGGTTGAAAGTCGTAGTAGTTTTCAGCCTGCGATATTGCCACTGTGCGAGGCTAAGTGGAAACCAGAGGTCAGCTTAAGAATTTGCTCTGAGGGCTGGAAAGATGGCTCAGTGGTTAAGAGCATTGCCTGCTCTTCCAAAGGTCCTGAGTTCAATTCCCAGCAACCACATGGTGGCTCACAACCATCTGTAATGAGGTCTGGTGCTCTCTTCTGGCCTGCAGACATATACACAGACAGAATATTGTATGCATAATAAATAAATATTTTTTTTTTAAAAAAGAATTTGCTCTGAGTAGATGTTACTCTTTGAGTAGCGAGGGTAAGGGATGTGTGTGGAAGAAAACTCAGCTTGGGACATAGATGTCAGCCATGTGGGGTAGAATCTTGTGACTTTGTCTTGAGATATAGGCCCTGGGAACACTTAGCATACCCTTATATTCTTCAAAGACATCATAAAAACAGATTCCCAGACACAAAGCAGTGCTTTGGGGCTGCTGCATAGCTCCCTTCCTTCATGAGGGGTTTGTGTACTGTGGCGAGCTGGTTGGGCTGCCTGCTCCAGACAGAGGTGCAGATCAAGAGAGAAACTGAGGTAGTCTTTGGAGCCAGAGGTAGTCCTTTCCAAGCAGTGAGTTTTATAGATTGTACAGTGGATGACCTACTAGTGATGTTCGATTTCTCTTTAAAGGACATGCAATAATTGTGATAATAACAACACAAACAAAATGTAGGTCTAATATGAACTAAACCCTAACGTTACTTATGGGGTTGCTTTACACGCATTCATACTATGCAGAACTCTCAACAGTTCCCTGAGATTGAGAAGATAGTGTGGGGATAAGCCGTGTTTACGGTGGAGGCATCTGGGGCATAGGAAGTTACTTAACAGCTAGATCTTGGTCCAAGAATCTAGAGCCTGTGCAGCTCGCTTGTGTAACTCAGAACCTCCCCTGGCGGGGAACACCCAGTGCTACCGAGCCCTTCTCTCTTCCTCTCCTGGCCTCAACATCCTGTTTTGCCTTTTTTTTTTCTTCTTCAGCATCACCCGAGACCCCCACCGGTTCCCCTCGGAGATTGCTGAGGCCCAGTGCAGATATTCAGGCTGCATCAATGCGCAGGGGCAGGAAGACAGCTCCATGAACTCCGTCGCCATCCAGCAAGAGATCCTGGTCCTCCGGAGGGAGCCCCAGGGCTGTCCTAATTCTTTCCGGCTGGAGAAGATGCGGGTGAAGGTCGGCTGCACCTGCGTCACGCCCATCGTCCGCCGCACAGCCTGACAAAGCTTCGCGTTAAACTGAAGAAGCTGGGGAAATGCCTGTCTTTATCCAGCACTCTGCATAAAGCCTTATATTCAAGTCTCTCTGCTTCCTAGGACTCTTAGTAAGGTGTGCATGGCGTTCTTGAAGCTCTGTTAGGTATAGTGTTAATGTTATTATTAGATAGAGTGTTAACTGTTAGATATAGTGTTAGCTATTAGATATAGTGTTAACTTTCTGGCATGTTTTAGAATTGCTACCTACCAGCCCTGATGCATTCTAATGCCTTGAACTTCTGAAAATGAAGGAGAACTAAGGCACCCTTGGCCCAGCCTCTTTATATTACATGATGACCATATATATATGTACATATATATAGTCAGTCATGTCACTTTGGTGCAATATCATTCTTATAGAGTTCAAGGAAGTACTTGTATTTCTGATGGAAATGGAGAAAACCCATTCAGAATGTATGTGTAGTGTGGGCTGGGTAAGCAAGGATGGGGCAAGCATCTGGTATGTGTGTCCATAGAAAAATTTGCTAAATATAAATTAGGGTGCCATAAACTATTATGTATTTATATTTGACAAACTACACATATATTTATGACCTATTGATTATATAAAGCTTAGTAGAAAATTAATATATTCATTACTTATGAAATAAAATATTATTAATTAAAATATTTGAAGTATGTGCTGCTTAATTTTTGTCAACTTGATACAAACTTGAACCACCTGGCAAGAGGGACCCTCAATTGAGAAACTGCCCCCATCAGATTAGTCTCTGGGCATGTCTGGTGGGCATTTTCTTGATTAATGGTTGTTGTGGGAGAATACAGCCCGTTTTGGGTAGTGCTACTCCCTCTAACCAGGTAGTCTTGAGCTGTATTAAAAAAAAAAAAAAAAACTAGCTGGGCAGGCCTTGGAGAGTAAGCCAGTGGGCAACATTCCTTCATCATCTTGGCTCCAGTTCTTAATGAGTTCCTGCCATGACTTCCATCCATAATGGTCTCTATGTTATAAGCCAAACAAATCTGTTCCCCACCAAGTTGCTTTTTGTTCTTGATGATTAGCATGGCAACACAGAAAGGAATTAAGGCAAAGTAATTGTTTCTACTTCCAGCTTGCACTCCCAAGACTTTATAGCCCTAAAGATTTTGAAATTCTCTATGAATGTCATTTGTTTATCATGTTTCCTCCTCTGACTCTGTTAGAGTTATTGTTATTAATCAATTGAGGTTCGGTTACACTTGCATGGAGCGTTAAGGGAAACGTTGCGAACAGAGTTCAAGTGTGGGGGCAACATGTTACTTCTCCGCTCTTCTGGCGCATTATGTAACGAGACATTTACTGACCATTGTGTTCGCCACTTGCTGTAGAGAGTGGAAGAAGATGTGCATAGTAGGGCCCTGGTATTGGCATCCCCAACCCGTCATTAGCGTCGCCATGCGGTTCCTTTGCCTCTTTCTCCCTATGACTTCTCGATTGTACGGGGCCACCAGGAGTCTTTTGTCAGACTCCTGTGTAACTTGGGGACACACGGAATGCAAGTCTCAGCCTCGGGGGAGCTTGTGTCCCCCCTTTCTGGATACAGCATCTCTCTTTCGCAGCTACCGTGCCGCCTGCCTTAAGAGCATCCACATTGCTGCTGCGTCCTGGTTCCAGAGAGGGAGTGGATTGTACGGCTGTTCTTTTTAGCTGGGATTTGGTTTGAGGTCGGACAGACGGTAGGAACTCGGTGCTTCCATTTCTAACATGGACCTGATCTAACAACAGGAAGCATGGTGCGGCATGCTCTCTTCAAGTTTTCACTAAAGAACCCCGCTGCAGACAACAGTACGGTTCCTTGCCTAGTGAGCCACCTGTGGCTGGTTCTGTGCGCCGGATTGGAGCAACGACAGAAGCCTGGCAACATTTCCCAGGATAACTCTCGCGATGCAATGTACCACAGATCATAAAACGTACATTGAGCCAGCGGATCACATATCACTCCTAAATGCATTTATTTCTTCTTTTCCAAATCACACCCATGGAGTAGATTATAGTGAACTCTGATGTTGGCTACAAGGGCTACATTTGCTTTTTTTTATTTAATGTTTTTAGGACAAGGGCATGGTTAGAGTGATGTGAAAAATATAAGATCTGAATTCTGAGGGTCAGTTAAGATTGGAGAGATATTTTTCTTAATGGTGGTCTCACACTGTAAAGGTCAAATAGACCATGATAGCCCCTGGCTTACTTCCCACATTTATGAATGTAGCCTGGAGAAATTAGTTGACATGTTTCAGGTCACAGTTACTAGCAGAAACAGGTTCACAGGCTCCAAGTTCAAGACCTTTGCATTTTGCTTTTCCAGCACGGCCAGAGTGTATCTGATAAAGAACCACGTCAGTCATCTCCCTGTATGGACTTGTACTGGCCGTGGGAGAGGATATAAAAGTATCACATCCTCCATCTCCAAACACATTGCTCACCGAGCCCCAGAGGCTGAGCAAGCTTGCCTCCTTGGCTTGTGGTTAAAGCTGAAACTGCACATCCTCCTCTACTCACGAGGTGGCACACTGCTTCCATATGTTCTTGGGTTCTTTAGCAAAGCTAGAAGAGACAGGAATGGCTGCTTCGTGGGTGCATCTGTCTGCTCAGGTGATTGAGACACCATGGAGCAGAATGAACGTGCTATGGTCATCAGCTTTGCCGAGCAGTCTGAGGTGCGGAAGTCCCCCATTCTGCTTGAAGACGCAGACAAAATTGAATGGATTAGTTTTTTGAATAGAGACTTTCCATCACAGTGTGTGGAGAGATTTCCAAGCAGAAACTTGAAAGCACATATCTGTTTCTTTCTGTTTCTTTTTTTCCCCCTTTCCTCAAGCTTTGCTTGTTTGCATCCCCTCTCCAATGTCTCACATAGACCAAGCCGTCCTAGGGCTTGACCTGATCCTCCGGTGTCTGCCTCCCGAGTGCTGGGATTACAGGTATATACTACCATGCTCAGTTTCATGGGGCTTCCGACATGCTAGGCAGCAACTGAGCTGTACCCCTACTCCTCATATAGTTCCTTCCTTTTAGTTCATTATGAAGGTCTCAGAGGAGAGGAAAAATGACATGCTTTCTTCCCCCAACCATGACCCTGTCCTAAAAACAACAAATAACAAAAGCAAATGTAACCCTTGTACCCAGCATTGAAGTTCATTGTAATCTGCTCCATGGGTGTAATTTGGAAAAGAAGCGATACATTTCAGGAGTGATACGTGATCCACTGGATAAAGGTACATTTTACAAGTTGCGATTTGCTTACTCATTAGCGCGGACCAGTTTTGTATGTTGCCCAGTAGTGAAGAAGACTGTATTTCAAAACTAAGACTAAGACAAAGAATGACTGTGATTGTGCATTGAGGGAGGTGATTTTCACAGAGGGTCTAAAAAGATTCTATTTGAGGTTTTAATATCATGTATGAGTGTGGGGGTTTGTGCATATCAGTGCAGTGTCCATGGCTTCCAGAAGTAGGTGCCAGATCCCCTGGTACTTGAGTTATGGGTAGCTGGGAGCTGCACCCGTGTGGGTGCTGGGGATTGAACTCAGTCTTGTGCAAGAGCAGCAAGAGCTTAAGTTCTGAGCCATCTCCCCAGCCCTGCCCCCCTCAGTAGGTTTAGAGAGGGGAAAGGGGGTGGAAATGATGTAACTGTAATACCTAGGCATGAATTCTCAAAAAATTATATAATGCCTGTAACTATTGTAGTTACTTAAAAAACAAATTATGAACTTTGTAATATAGAGAAGTGGCTCTCTCTTTCTCCTCTCTTACTGTCATGCATGTTAAAATTCTGGGTAACATTTATGAGCTATATAATATAGACAGAAAAGACTCTCTCTCTCTCTCTCTCTCTCTCTCTCTCTCTCTCTCTTTCTCTCTCTCTCTCATATTCCATGTTAAAATTCTGGGTACACGTGTTTCCACATCAATAGCTTACCTTGAACAAATTTTTTTTGTCTCAATTTTCTTAACTATAAAATGAGTGAGAACAATATCTCCCTCCAAAGTTTGAGAGACCCATTGAAAGAAGAATTAAATGTAAACCATTCAGAGAAGGTCCCAGCTACAACAGGCTGTTTCTAGTGCAGCAAGGTGTGTGGATTCTAATTCTTGTTTCCAAGTTTAAGTGAATCAATGCATTAAAGAAAGGTGTGTTTATGAGTTATCGCAAATCCATAGACTTGTGAGTGTGCTGGCTTACTTCTGTGGTTTCCTTCTGGGCTGTTTGTAGTTGACACACCACAGCCCTTTGTATGTCCCGAGGGTGAGGACCAGACCTTGTTTGTAGTGGTGGCAACACCAGAAGTCCCATAACCATGCCTCACAACCGCATTCTCATGGCTGTGCGGTTGGTGAGATGGCTCAGTGGGTTACGGCACTTGTTGCTTTAGTGATATGGAGAAAGCAGCCCCTGGGGAGGGCTGCCCTGGACACTTGTGTATGCTGAAGGCTAGAGTTCATCCTCAGTGTGGCTCTCCCCTAGGAGGGGGTGCCATGCTCCCACAAAATGCTTAGCATCTTTAAGTTCAAGAGTTCTCCTAAATTCTAGGTTCTGCTGACACCACACTCTTGGTTTCTCACCAACTAAGAAGGCAGAAACCCCAGATGTCACGCAGACCACTTGTCAAACGCCTGATTGCCTTCTGTGGTCACCTGAAACCCCAAGTGAGAACTCTTAAGGAAACCAATGCTTGTTTCTGTCTCTTGCTGCTGAATATGTCTGCACAGAGATGCTGGCCTTCAGGATCGTATGTGTGAAAAATAAACCCCCAATAGAATTAAAAGTATAAAAGAAAATCAATCCTTTCTTTTGGGTCCATGTTGTTTAGCGTATTAACATCTGTTCAATGCTATTATTTGTGTTCGAGGGCTTAGTTGAATTACTAATGATCTGCAATTGTCAAACGGGAATGAATTTTATTGAGCGGAACAAGGATGCAATCATCCCACTGTGCTTTTGGGTTGCCATTTTTTTTTTCTCCCCAGAAGTCGCAGAATGCTTTGTAATGTAAACTGATGCTTGCTCGGTTTTCAAAGTAGGGATAATCTTTAAACTCTCCTTGTGTTAACTCATCCAGTCATCAGAATAATCTTGTGAAGGAGGAAATATTAATCTGCCTCACTCCACAGGTAAGCGAGCTGCTTATAGTCAGGGCTGGGTTTGTCTATCCAGGGTGTGGAGAGGACCTAAATAAACTCTCTTGTTCCTCTTGATTTAGTTGATTTTTTTAGACATTAATTTTAAAGGTTCCGGAGCTCAGAAATGTATTGTAAACTTTCTCCTAGAAAAAGCCTCTGATTCGAGCCAATGAAGAGATGGAGGGCTGATGGCCAGAGAATGTGTTTTTCCCTAGTCTTCCAGAGGAAGGATGACTTTTTTTTTTTTTATTCCCTCAGGTGCTCTGGGAAAAGGCAGATGTTTGCTATCTCCTTACATTCTTGAGGAAAAATGGTGTCTCGTGTACCTCAATAATTAATTGCACAGTTAACTACTTCAAAGAAACTAAAAAGACTTGGGTTGTAGAGTTCCTTGTCAGTCACTGTGCTCCAGATACTTGCTGACATAGAAGCTAACTGCTCATATATCTCAAGAAATTCCATCAGACACTTAACTACCCAAGGCCTGCCCGTCTGACAGTGCCCTCCTCAGTAC